GAGGCTTCTCACTTTGATTCCGTTTGGTGCAGGTGTTCGTCCACCAAGTGGAGGCATACTTGCGGAATTTTAAGGCCACAATCTCGACCTTCTTGTCGTCGGAGACTTCTTTGAAATCAAAGACTCGTTCCACTGTCTCTAACCACTCAAGAAATTCATCCGGGTCATTCTTCCCTTCAAAGATTGGAATATCAACTTTGAAGTCAGAATGGGACTTTTCATGAGCCCTAGCTCTCATGGTGTTACTAGAGCTAGCTTCCTCTTCATCTTCACTATCTTGCAACATGGACATCTTTTGCTTCGTGAGCTTAGCCACTTCTTTGGCCAGGTATTCCACCTGAGCTTGCAAGGCAGCGTTTGCGGCTACGAGCTTGGTTGCACGGGTTCGGCTGTTTGGTGCCGCCTCCCGCTCCGGAAGCAACGCACGAACGGAAACGCCTTGGTTGAAAAGGATTCGGCGGCTTCTTCGAGCGGGACGGAATCAGGAATTTGGGGGCGTACCCGGTACGAAATGGGCCATTTAATCATATTTTAATTTATTTTTTATTAAAGTTTTTATGGGCTAGCCCACTAGCCCTAGTCTGCACTACACCCCTACTTCCAGAAGTTGCCGTGAGGTCGCCGTCCACTGTTCTAGAGCTTCCGGCGAGGTCTCCGTCCACAGTTCCAGAGCTTCCGGCGAGGTCGCCGTCCAGGCCTACACCCCTACACGAGTACACGTACCAGCGGACCAGCCATAGTTCTTCACTTCTTCCTTGAGTTCTTTCTTCCACCAAAATTCTTTCTTTGACCCATTTTAGTTGGCAAATTGACTTTGCAATTTACTTAATTAATTTTTCTTTGTTTGATATTACTAGAAATTTACTTGGCTAATTTTAGTTGTTTGATATTACTTAACTAATTTTACTAGAAATTTTAGTTTGATATTACTTATTTAATTTTAGTTGTTTAACATCTATTGTAACATTATTTAACTTGAACATTATTTTTAACATTTACATGCCTATATTTAATATTTTAATTATCTTTTGTCGAATCCTTGCCGTCCCCGCATCCTTAAATTTTTAAAAATGCCGATTCCCGAATCCATCACCGTCCCCGTATATGTACCCGCACCCGTCCCAGTGCAACCTAGGCTACGAGTTCTTCATGAGACATGCTTCGGGATCGGTTTGACATGGTTGATAGGAAAAGGGATGAAGTGGGAGTAGGGATTGAATGTGGTCAGGCCGAATTTAGGGAGGGAGTTGGGGAAGTGTGTATGGTCCTTGAGAGATGAGTAACAACTAGCTCTGATACCAACTGATGTACCCAAGCTTAGGAAAAGGCTATGGATAAATAAGGGCATATTATAGAGGGGAAAATATGGTGAAGAATAGGTTGGATTTGAGTATAAAATGGTGAAGAAAGTATGGCTGTTTGGAAGAGGTGATAGGGCAGAATAAAGGGCAGGAGAAAAACAATATTTTGGAGTGGTTTTTGATGGAGAAATGAAGTGTTTAAATGGCGGAAAGGGGATGGACAAAATTGGGAGAGAAAAAGGAAGTTCTTTGGTGGTTTTCTGGGTGTATAAGGATAAACCAAATAATGAATAAGAGATAAACACACTCTTATTTTATTTGGGGCTATTTCTTTTCACACAATAATATTCACTACTATTATATGAAATAGACTCCTAACACACACTCAAAAGTAGCCAACTCTAGAGATATTTCATTAGGAAATGGGGAGAACTAGCTTCACACTAATTCCAGAATTTTACTCAAAGAGTAAAGGGAATAAAAATACAATCTGGTACTGCATTACAAGGCCCTTGGCCGAAATAAATAAGGGGAAGAAAAACTAAGGGGGAAGCTTCCTACCACTTTCCTAAAATCAAGTGCATAATATCCATTTGTTTGATGCCTTTGGTTTGTCCTCATTGATCAGTGTTAAAGGGTGAATATGGGGTGTCTTTGATGAGGGGATTTCGGCCATGTGAAGGGTGAGGGAAGGGAGTGGTTTGGTTATGTCAAAGGTGAGGTGAGGGGCTGGATTTTTGGTCCACACATGAGGAATAATACATTAAGGATTATCCTTTATTCCTTTGGTTTTATTGTGGATTTGAAGGGTGATAAATGGGATATTTAGGGGGCTGAATTCGGCCATGGGTGTGAAAGGGTGTGGGTTTGATGTATTATCACAACAGGACAAAAGACATGTTTTATTCCTTGTCCCCTGGTTTGTTTCTTTGTAGTGGGGGATGTTTGTGATGGGTGGGGACTAATTTTAAGGACAAATGGGGGCATATTTTCGTGACTTTGAAGTAGGAAGGGATGGGGAAGGTTCTTATTTGATGAAAGGAATATTTAGGGAATAAAAAAACCCTCACATTATTTTGGGTTGTTCTTTTCCTTTCAATTTTGGCCAGGGCTTCAAAGGATAGGAAAAGGGCTTTATTTGAGTAGTAAAAATACTTTGGATATGTGGGAGTGGGTTGGGCTTGCAGGCATTTCGGCCTAGGTTGGGTTTTGGGAGAGATAGGTCATGGTTTGGGTTTTGGTGTGGGATGGATCAATGAGTTCAACCCAAAATGGATCATGACACCTAGACATTAAACACTTGTTTTCTTTTAATACTAGTGGCGTGTGTGAAGGTGTAACCCGAGGTATATCACCTTGGTTGTTCGATCGCAGGGTTCTTTACGATGGATACGCTAACACGTATTCATTCCTCAAAGACAATAAGAGAATCACCCTTACTTCTCTTCATCCTGAAGAAAAATCTCCCGTTCATCTGTCAACATTGATACGAGCTGGTAAATCTGAATACATAGAAGAAACTCATCGTGAGACGATAACAACGACTCAAGTCAACCAGCATGTTTGTGGGAACGTGAATGTAAACACGAGAGGCCTCAATGATCAATCCAAGCCAATTTATACTCTGAGTTTGAGGTCAAACTCTTTTGAAGACGGGGAGGATGTTGTACCCCACCATGCATCATAAAAGGGTAAGAAAAATCAGGGGTTAATGCTTGAGTGTTATAATCCTAATTGGGTTGAATTTATTCCTTTTTCCCATCAAAAAGCACAACCCTTAGCCCTTGTTGCCCAAAATCCCCTCTAACCAAATCACAACCCAAAAACCCTCTCCCACAACATCCAAACTCACTTCCTCTGCCCAAAATAAAGTCTTTGTTATTCATTACTAAGCCTAGGCCGAAGGTGAACAACAAAAGACAAAATAAAACCTTTGTTTATTTTTTTCTTAAACATGATAATCGATTATCTAACATAGATAATCGACTATTGCTTCCCTCTGAATTCTCCTAACATATTCCTGCAATGCTCCATAATCGATTATCTCCCAATAGAAAATCGATTATCATTCATCTCAGAAGATATCCAGCTTAGAAACCAGTCCTTGATAATCGATTAATCTTTTTGTGTCAGTCGACTACTGGATACCTTAGAAAATTCTTGGTTTAGCAGACACACCTTGTGAATCGATTATCAGTAATAGATAATCGATTATCACCTGTCTCAGAACCAAGAAACCAAAGTGGTCTCTGATTTAACAGTAAAGGTTTTGTCATTGACAGTTGTAGTTTTTCGGGTAGTAAACCTTCCCAGTAAAGGGTTAGTTTTCTCTCTGAGTGTCGTATCTCTCGAGGAGTGGATGAAAGGAGTTAGTTTAATTACTCTAATTAGGCGAAGATTAGGATTGGTTTGTGAAAGTCTTCTCGGAACGGTTATGAAGGGAGCAGAGTAAAATAATGATTTAAGTTTACATAGTATAAGTATAGATCTGGACCTAGGGTCTGGACATCATTTGGATTTATTTTATCATATTAAATTAACAATTGGAATAATAATATTTCTATTACTACTCATCCATTTCTAGATTTGTACTTAATCCGTTGTACTTGAATATCATAGCCTTTTGGCATACAATATTTTCTCAATAAATGGCCAATTAAATCTTTCAAGTTTAATTAACCAAATAAGGCAAGAACAATAGATTAACCATTCCAACATTAATTTAACATCAAAAATAAACAACCAAACTAGTCCGGACCCAGAGATCCGGACCCTAACTCATACTATGGATGAATTCGGTTGTAGATGCATTCGGTTGTTAATTTGTTGTTTGTGTGTGACTATTATTTGTTTTTCAATTACTAAAATTGATTCGCCATGATTAAATGTGCCATGGTCGTTCTGATTAACTAGAAGATGATGAAATTCGCCATGATTAAAGATTTGTACTCTGAATCTATTCGACTAAGGCAAGGCCAGTATTTCCTTTCTCACATGTACCATTTGCATCTTTATTTTTATTTGGAGAAAAATAAGAAGTGATATCTGTTTTGCTTTTGTGATGCATACATCTTTTAAAGAGCATGTTTAATGTCAACCAGAGGTCTATGCTTTGAGAGAAAAGAAAACAAATTCTCCTCTTTACAATCGTATCAAGAATAGGTTCCCACCTAAATACCAAGTCCACCCTTTAGTGTTTCACCTTATATGTTGGTTTTTGGAAAAGCTTGTCATTTACAAGTTGAAATTGATCATAGGTCTTATTGGGCTGTTATGGAAATTAGTTTAGACTGATGCAGTTGGAAAAGAGAGAAAATTGCAACTTTCAGAGTTAGAAGAAATAAGACTTGAAGCTTATGACAACTCAGTAATTTATAAGGGTAAAGCTAAGGCCTTTCATGATGCCAAACTCACTAGGAAACACTTTGACATAGGTGATAAGGTGATGTTATATAACTCTAAATTACATTTGTTTCTTGGAAAGTTAAGGTTAAGATGGCTTGGACCCTTTGAAGTGTTAGAAACTTTTCCTCATGGGGCTATGGTAATTAGAGGTTTCACTACTAATAAGATTTTTAAAGTTAATGGACATAGATTGAAGGTGTATCACCAAGGTGAACAGGTTGCTAAGGTCGAGGACAGTTTCCTCGAGGAGCTATGAAATAAGGCAGTAAAGTCTAGCCAGGACTACTAAACAGGGCAGCTAGCACAAAACGAAAAAGAAATTAGGCATTTTAGTGATATACCCCCGGTTACACCTTCTTTCTACCATTCACCCAACCGCCCTCCGTACCAAACCCATTCACCTTACCACCCACATCAGAACCCATATGATGATGACTACCAAGTCGATAATGGGTTTGACTACTATCCATACCATGAGGAACCAACATATGATACCCCGTCTAGGAACTTTGGATATTCTCCATACCAAGACATTAATGGGGATAATTATTATGAACCCCATGGAGACCAAGATGACTTTGAACACAATGGGCCTATGTCTGACAACCAACCTGATCCCCTCGTCGAGGAAATAATAAGATTAGAACAGAAAATCTTCTATTTCGACGAACTTTTATTCACTGAAGGCTCTTGGTACGAACCACCCTACTCCCGTGACTACACTTTGTTTGCTGAAGAGCAAATTGAAGCAAACAAGGTGGCAATTCGAGAAAGAGCAAAACTTCTTGAGTCAGTCTGGAAGGAAAAGGAGTTTGAGAGGAGATTATGCGAAGGATCAGAACTGATGCAGAAAATGCTGGACGACTTTCAAAGAGAGAGACTAGAAGCTGAGTCTAAAGCCGATAAATTAGTTAATGATCTCTGTATGGCTGTTGAACTTAAACGCTCCCTCCAATCTCAAGATCAAATGAGGGAGATTAATGTTCAAAAAGAGGCTCCAGAACCTAAGACCAACCCTGAACCCATCAACCAACAGGTGCCAGTTCTAGAAGAATCACCAAGTTCTACACCCTCACAGAAGCCCGAGAGCATAACAACTCTTGCTAGGGCTACTGTGGTGATGTTACCTGAATACCCTCCTAGCCAAGTCCTAACCAGCATAGTCGTACATGAGGTGGAACCAACTGAGGGACCTGACTCAGAACCATCTATGCTTAGTCAAGAAAAGGAGGAGGAAGTTTTGCCTGTAGCAATAAATGACCATCTCCTTAATTGTGTTGAAGACACACCTCCAGAGAAACCTGTTCTGGAAGAAGTAGAGCCCATTACCTGCCCCCAAGATACCAATGTCCAAGTGTCTGAGCAGGAATCTATAGACGAGGAATTACTTTGTATGGAAAAGCCAACTCCGTTTATAGAAACCTGTGTAGATAATGCTTCATCTGAAGATTCAGACCAAACCTTCTTTGACTCCCTACTTGATGGGTGCGACTTTGTCTGCCCGAAGGATAGTTGGAGCCAAAAGAGTTGGGATGAACTTCTGGTAAGTGACACTGAAGACTCATCCATGGGAGAAAGCACGGTCGTAATCATCAAACCACAATTGGATAGTCTGCCCATTGAAGACAAAGAAGAAATCAATCTCGCTATAAAGGCAAATGATGTGGACGACTTCCGCCACCACCAATCAATACAAAGTCTCCTCCATATATCCTGTTGCCACCAAGCCGCAGGGATGAGTCAAGGATCCTGGACCTTGACCAAGCAATAAATCAAACAAGGTGGTATCAGAAGAGAGTCAAAAAAGCCAAACTTTATGACTCTCGGATTGGAAAGTCGCGGAAAAAGTGGCTAAGGCGTCGAGCTACGGACATTAAAGAAGCGCTTAATGGGAGGCAACTCGTAATTCAAATAACTAAAATAATTAAATAAATTCAATAGTTTTATTTGTTAGTTTTTGAGGTTTTGCTTGCCGCACCAGATTTGGGGGCAAGAGTTATTTTGTTTGTTGTCTTTGTTTTTGCAGATGAGAGAATTGTAGGGCATACCTTACAGGTGGAGCGAAGAAGAGGTCTCACCTGGGGTAAACACAAAGGTTCTATAGCCTTTGATTATTCTAATATTGACTTTATTAGTGAAGTCTCTTTTTCTCTACTATTTTGAACATGATTTGGATGCTTGATTGATTTTTATTTTGGAAATTCACAATATGACTCTTAAACCCATTTTGAGAAAATTTTATGCATTATTTCATATTTACATGTTATGATTATCTATTATTTCAATCTTCATCTTTGAATTTTATGAGTATTGAGATAACTTAGTAATTGCATGTGAGCATTTCAACCATTAACTCCAATGCCCAAATACTTTTAACCACGAGGGCGTGGTTCCGTCTAAGTGTGAGGAGGTAAGAGTTCGTGGTTGAAATGATCTTTTTAGGAATTGTTTTGTCTATATATTGTTAGGAAAAGATTTTTTAAAATAGTCCTCAATTTTAATTGTTTGATTAATTAATCTTTAGTTATCACC